CGTGAATGAAGGGAGAAAGCATTTTAGGAGAAGCAGTGATCAATAAGGTCAGCTGCTATGGAGAGACCATAGAGAACAATGTAGCAAAAATGCTATTGGATTTCACAGAAAGGCAGGTGTTGGTGACCTTTGAAATGCTTGCTTCAGCAGAGTGGTGGGCAAGAAGCCCAGATTGCTGGGAGTTAGGGACTTCCAGCATGATGAGGACTTGCAAGCTTTTTATTGACTATTCATCTGAGCTTGTGGTGGAACAAGAATTTTCTTGGGTGAAGTCGCTAAGTGACCTTAGGCCAGTTAGCTAACCCCATTGAGCCTGTGATCTCAGAATAGGTAATGATAGTATAATAATACTCTGTGTGTGTGTGTGTGTGTGTGTGTGTGTGTGTTTTAATTAAAGGACCAAATGTGAGACAATAGTGAACCCCTAGAATGATGTCTGATACATAGTTGGTACTTAAATGGTCATTTTCTTTACTCTCCCCCTCACCATTATTTATCTTTATTAATGCTGTTGAAGGCATCCATCACCCTTTGTAAATTTGTATAAGATGTGAAATTGTCTGGTAAACCCTTCATTTCAGTCATTGGAGAAATTGTGAGTTGTGTTTAACCAAGAGCTAATATATCTGTAGTTGAACCACTGACCACTGCTTGAAATTACATGGAATCCAGCTGGAGAAGTACTTCAAAAGGTAGTTATGTTAGTGAGGGCTCTTTTAGTTTCAAGTTATAGAATGTCAGTTGAAGTAGACATTGTAAGAAAGGGTGGAGAGAGATTGATTTTTTAAAATTTTGTTGGCTTATGTGACAGAAAACTCCAGAGATAGTGCCAACATCAAGTACTGCCAAATTTTCTGGATCAAACAGTATTATCAGTACTTGGTCATCTTCAGATCATCTTACAGCTCAACTCTTTCTTCTCCATATGTTTCACATTCTCAAGTATAATTCCTAGCTGCAAATTTTGAGGAAAGAGAAGAAATTCTCAGTAGTTCTAAGTATGTTCCTGGATTCATTGTCACTGTCCAGATTTAGGTCACTTGCCCATTCTTGAACCAGGTGCTCTAGTCAGGGGGCTGGGATATACTGGTTTTCCAGACCTGGCTAAGGAATATTCAATTCTGTAAGTGCACATAAGGAGTGGTTCCTCAAAGGAAAATCCAATTTCTATTACCAGAATGAAGGGGAGTGAACACAAAGAAAGCAAAACAATTGATATCATCTTATTGCATAGAAAAGTGCTTTTCAAACTATATTTCCAGGGTTCATCCCACTGAAATACTTAAACAGTTTGAAGGGAAGAAGAGAGTAATAAATAATCGGAAATTCTCTAATCCATGCTTACTCCAACTTTACCTAGAGCAGCTTCACCCAACTTATGCTTAAGATTTCATATGAAGATGGAATCTTAACAATACCATTGGTATAGGACAATTAATAGTAGATGGTTAGGCCCATAGAATATTCTTGTAGGTGACATCTTTTCCCACTCTATCCTGGTGAACACATTCTTTCCCTACCTTTTCCTCATCCCCATTAGCCTAACTCATATTCCAAACCTTACAAGATCCAGACCTAAATCCTCCACAGTCAGACATATGAAGATCATGGAATCAGGCAGAAGTCCAGTTCTCAGCTTACAGTATTATGAAACTTAAGAAAATCATCACTTACCCTTTGTTCCATCAAAGATACTTCCCCAATAGTTGTTACAACTTCATGACTCAGCATGATCCGATAGTCATAGAGTGGAAAATTTGGATATATTCAAGAAATTTGACAGATTATAATCTTTGATGATATGTTTATGCTGAAGTTTGCAGTTGACATCTGTATGCAGGGCAGTTTAATATTTTCTAAGTCTTGATCTATGGCTTATCTCCTAGGTAATTGCTTCCTAAACTATACTCTTAGGGCATTATCATTATCTACTATTGATTTTCTTTAGATATCTGGCCCACCTTTCCACCCTCAGTATCAGGGCCCAAACAAAGCTGGGAGGTGACTATTAGTGTAAATTAAGTTTTATTAGAACACAGACACACCTATTAGTTTAAGTCTTGTCTTTATATGGCTGCTTTCCTGCTGTAGGAGCAGAAGTGAATAGGTAAGAAAGAGAACATAGGCCCTCGAACCTACAGTATTATCTGGCCCTTATAGAATAAGTTGTTGGCCCCTGCTATGTATTTATGTGGTTTGTAACAGTATTCCTACTTTTTTTGTTTTTTTGTTTTTTTTTTTGAGACAGAGTCTCACTGTGTTGCCCGGGCTAGAGTGCCATGGCGTCAGCCTAGCTCACAGCAACCTCAAACTCCTGGGCTCAAGCAATCCTTCTGCCTCAGCCTCCCGAGTAGCTGGGACTACAGGCATGTGCCACCATGCCCGGCTAATTTTTTATATATATATTTTTAGTTCTCCGATTAATTTCTTTCTATTTTTAGTAGAGACGGGGGTCTCACTCTTGCTCAGGCTGGTTTCGAACTCCTGAGCCCAAACAATCCGCCCGCTTCGGCCTCCCAGAGTGCTAGGATACAGGCATGAGCCACTGCGCCCGGCCAGTATTCCTACTTCTTGATATATGGTATACTTACGAAGAAGAATCCAGTCATGTCCTTATGATATTCTCATTCTCTGGTGTCCTGAAAAGTTTATCTAGGGAACTATTTTTGGCTTATCTGTTCTACCTGTATTCTTTCAGCTCTCTGAACAACTTCACTCTTTTTTCTCTACCCTTAATAGTTTAGTCTTTGTCATCTTTTAAAACTGCCAACCTTTTTTAATGAAGGGGAGGGACAGGGATTAGAATTTTTTCATCCAGCACTTGAACACATTTTTACACACACCTGCATATACTTAACGCAGAGATACAAGGTGCCAAACACATAGATAAAAATCAGGATTCAGTGTCATTTTATTTTCCCTCTCAATTTCATATTTGTTGTGGTCATAACAGTGTATTTTATAATGAAGTGTTTGCTATGGTCTAGGAAAGCTTATGAAGGGAAGTGAAGGAGGAACATATTTCCCCTGATCTGGTCACTGGATTCTATAAGCAGATCAGCCACTCCTCAGAAGGCTGAGTAGTTAAGCTGTACTTGAAGAAGAACAGGGATAATAATACCCCTTTCCTGCTTTTTTGCAGTTTAAATGCCCTGTGGAGTGAGAGAAGACTTCAATCCCTAGGCTTGTGAATCCCTTATCTTTCCCAAACGTTAAATTAATTTTTAAGGCTATTTATTCAAAGTTGACTTAACCACTAGAATAGGAAAGATCAGACAAATCAGCTGCAAGAAATGAAGTATGAGGAAACCCGAACTCTTTGACAAAGTATTCCTGGGAGTAAATGTGTTGAATGAAGCCAGCGGGTAAATGATAAGGGCCTTTACACTGTGGATGTAAGAAAGCAATTTATCAAGAGTACATGAACTCTCTAGTGACCACAAGTCAGGAGGAAACGAGAGTGGAGGAGGAGCCCTGAAAAAATACATTTGAAATACTAAAAAACCTGCATGCACTTTTAAGTCCCTCCATTATTATGCAGAAATATTGGTATAGTAAAATAGGAGTTGCTGAGAGTATACTTGTACCATAGCCCATACTGTTAGGGGATAAGGTTAGGAAAAGCAGTTGAGAAAGGCCACACAGTAGTTTAGAATTTGCAGAAACCTTGGGTATGCTCAGGTGTAGTTATGACTTCAGCTGGATGTTGCATAGTAGCCGTTTGCCCGACTAATAAAGTTAGATGACCATTGTTCAGGCTTACATGTTTATTTTGTTTAATCTCTAAATGGGCATATGTGTGTAGTTCGGACAGTTAATGGTAATGCCTTTTGTGTTCTCTTAAGGATTTCAGAGCACCTCTCACTCATTATCTTCTAAATCTTTGCAGCATCTCTTTGAGTCCTATAGATGAGACGGTGTTATCTTAGAGAAACTGAGGCAAAATGTAATTGTATTATCAGCAATATGGTTCCCAGTAACTGAGATACAGATGGGGACCAAAATTTATGACCTTATCTTGGCTTTTAGTTCAAGGAAAGAAATGGCATTTCTTAGTTTTAGGGAGAAAAATAGCCCAATTGTTGAAATTTTAATTTCATTAAAACTAGTGAAAGTATTTGCTCTGAGAATGCTTATCCTCAGTTTTCTCTACTGAATTAATACAGTTAGCTGAAATAACACAGAAATTACTAAATTTTGATTTTGTGATATTTCTATTTTCATATATACCCTTGTCAGAACTATTAACAAAGTGACAAAATTATAACTTGAATTTCTTCTTTCTTTTTTTTCTTAATATCTTTCAGAGAACATGCCAATAAACACACAAAAAAACACAGGTAACTAACAAAAGAGAAATTGTGAGAACTAAGTTTTTGGGTAATCCTCCTTAGCTAATATAAATCGAGTTAAATTACTAGCCCTCCAGATAGATGTCAGCTTTCCTTATTCCCTCTAAATTAGGCCTTTTACCCCTATAATCTAAAGAACACAGTCCTTTTCCTCTTTAAACTATTCAGGTATTATAAGGGGTGAATTTTACTGGTTGAGCCTCCTCATATGGCATTAGTTAGGAATTGTTCTGTTTTGTTTCTTGCTGGGGAGAGAGGAACACCGTGGTAACTCGAGTTGAGCCATAGTTCAATTAACAAATTAATTAGTCAGGATTTTAGTCCCAACCACAGTCATTTAAAAACATTGAGTGACTCTTTCTGAAAGTTGAATGTGTTTTGTATTTGCTGTCATCTGTAATTTATAAATACGTTGAATCAAAAAAAAAAAAGAAAGAAAAGAAAAAGGGCAAAGCAAAAAGGAGAGGGGAAGAGAAATATTTACATAGCACAATCTTGCTTAAACATCTGTGGTTATCATCCATCTGTAGAAATGCAGCCATGATAACTTCTAGTAATGGTTCTAATTTCTCTGTCTTCTCCCTCTATCTCTTTATTCACCCCCCCACCCACTCCCGCATCTCTGGAACTTTGATGGAACCACCACAGCCTTGGATAAGCTCAGCACGCAGCACCTGTACCACCCCACTCAAGTGGAGATTGTGCAGTCCAATGTGGTGTTTGACATCAGCAGCCTGATGCTCTACGGGACACAAGCGGTGCCCGTGCGGCTAAAGATCCTGCTAGACCGTCTCTTCAGCGTCCTGAAGCAAGAGGAAGTACTGCACATACTGCACGGCCTGGGCTGGACTCTGCGGGACTATGTCCGAGGATACATCCTTCAGGTAGGGGGAGGACTTGAATGCCAGTGTCTGGGGCCTGTTCTAGGTTGGGGGTGGGTACGAGCCCTTGGCACGCTTGGTCTCCTTCCTGCCCCCTGCAGACCCAGCCATGCATACCCTCCTCTGGTGAAAATGGTCATTTCAGCAGGCTTGTCAGGGAAGTAGAAAGAAGGTGAGACACCCAGCCAGCCGCCATAGGGCCTCAGTGGTGTGTATTAGAAGGGAAAAAGTAGTCTGTTGACCAGTGTTACTTTGTACCTTTTTGAATTCAATTCTCTTTCCCTACTACATGGGCTTTCTGACTTCTCTAGCAAGTCTTATTGTAGCATAATTAAAAGGAGGGCTCTTTGAGGTGGGTGATGGGTGTGTAAAAATCTTAGATTACCCTTCATTTGGGTTTATTAGGGCTTTTTCTCACGCTCAATTTGTAGGGATGGTATTTTGCTTATTTGTCTGTGTACCTTCTCTATTTATTGTTTCTTCATCCAAATCAAAGGAAGAACTGTAACCTATATAAACTTAACAACCAGCAAAGCCTCACATCATAGCCTTCAGAAGTCTACATTATGAAACATGCAGACATGGCTATCGTTGTGGCCTTCACAGCATCTGTTCTTCAGCCTTTGCATCAGTGAAACTTCTGATCTGGTGAGGGCCTTCGACTTCTCTGGGAGGCCCACAGCCTTCACGTACCCTCATCCACCACCCATCCCCTCCCTTTCTTCATCATTTTATTATAGTATGTCATGAGTCATTTTGCATTGTATACTTTGCCTCTGAAGTGTTTTTTTATGGCCAGTTGTCTTCCCTTAGGGGGTAAATGTTGAGAACAGCATTTTGGGAGACTCCAGGATCCAGAAAGACTACACTGGATGAGGAAGAAGTGTCTGCTCCTGCTGAAGGAGATCCCAATTTGAGAAGGAGGAATCTGAAGTGATTTTTGAGATTTCCTATGGATATAATACCAGGAGAAATGGCCCCTCCAAAAAAATTATTTTTGGCTGTGCCAGCCTTGTATGACACTGGAGATATTGCCAGTGTTTATTCCCTGAGCCACCCTGCGTTACATGCAAGGCCTTGGCTGCCAGCTTGGTATGTGATGAGTGGGTAGGCTCAAGTCTCCCCCTCACTTTAACTTGGCATCAAAACACACACATTCCTGTCATTCTCCTATGTGGCACCTCCAGGTGTTTCACTGGGACAGGAGAGCAATGGGGGTGGGGGGATGGTGAGGAGAAGTAGAGAAAGATAGAGGAGGTGGAATAACCTGTCTGCTCCCAGAATAGAATTGTTTCTTAATTTAGTGAGAATCTCAACGTGGAAGGCACAGAAAATTTGGCCGTCAGAAGATGAGATGATGGTGATAATAGTAATAATTATATATTACGTTTTCAGTTTATAGAGCATGTTTATAAGCATTATCTCATTTGCCTCAGGATGGGGACATTTCAGTGGGATAAGTGGGGAAGATAAGTCCTGGGTGGTCAGGGGACATAAGAGTACACAAGGCCCAGAAGAGGGAGCCAGAAACAATTAAAGCATGGAACCAGTGTCACAATCCCTTCTTATATGGCCGTAAGGTGCATACGGTGCCATATCCTCTGCAGTCATTTCTGTAGCAAGATTGTTAATGTCTATTTCAGATGGATTTTACCCTACATGCAGGAACAAACCTCTTACAGATGTTTGAATGGAACTCTTGGCTAAAAGTTCTTCTTTCCTTTATTCAAAACCTACGAGTATTTTCCCCTAATCTGGTACCATCTTTATTACCTCCACTATGATGCTTATATTTATATCATCACTATCATATTTTGGTTCCACATGTATTTTTTGCCCGAGATATCTGGAGCATACATACTGTATCTTTCTGTCCAAAAGATATGCGCATGGCCATACTCATTTGCCATCTTAACAACCAGGTCACTGTAGCATCATGGTGGCAGCATGTATAGAACCTGCTGGTGTTCCTGTGCTATGGCATTATTAGTCTGCCTTGACTAGTGCCTGTTTTTTATTTTACTTAAAATAATTATTTAGGTGTAATTTTTCCCAATATTTCAACATATCTCTAACTAAGGCAAGTATAGAAAATGCATTTCTTTAAAATGTACTCCATATTTCTTTTTTTTAATGAGGGCCTGGGATTTAAAGATACGAGATTGCAAGAGAAATTAAGTATTAAAGAAAAATTTAGCATACTCACAAACTAAAATTTATGAAGTTTCTTATTTTGGGGTGAAATATTGCATATAAAGAACATTGTCATTTATGGTGATGCTCAAATTATAATTATTTTATTTAATATGGCTTTTTGACAAAATCTAAAATTTAATGTTTGTCTATTCAGAATCTAGAATTAATATTTTGAGAAAACTATAGATTTTTATATTGGAAGAACATTAAGATTAGTTTTTGTCTTGTTTTATTGATAGAATTGTAATATAGATTGTATTTAAATGATGTTTTTTGTTATTCAGCATTTATAATCTACTTGTTCCTTGTGAAAACAGTTCTTGGTTTAGGAAAAAAACAGGCCGGGCGCGGTGGCTCACGCCTGTAATCCTAGCTCTCTGGAGGCCGAGGCAGGCGGATTGTTTGAGCTCAGGAGTTCGAAATCAGCCTGAGGGAGAGCGAGACCCCGTCTCTACTAAAAGCCTGAGGGAGAGCGAGACCCCATCTCTACTAAAAACAGAAAAAAATTAGCCGGGTGTGGTGGCAAGTGCCTGTAGTCCCAGCTACTCGGGAGGCTGAGGCAGAAGGATCGCTTGAGCCCACGAGTTTGAGGTTGCTGTGAGCTAGGATGACGCCCCGGCCCTCTAGCCAGGGCAACAAAGGGAGACTTTGTCTAAAAAAAAAAAAAAAAAAATAGGACACAAAACTATCACTTACGTCATCGCTAGTGAAAAATTGTTAGTTTTGTTAAAAATAAGAACTATAAAAGCAAACCTTTTTCTTCTAAATCATTGTTGTTTGATAACTGGCTAATATTTTAAAAATTATATGTAGTAATGATAAGGTATGCAGAAATGATTTTAATTATAATTGTATATAGCATTTTTGTACAAGTAGGCTATAAAATGTGTATATGAAGGCTATGGAAACCTGTAATGCACTGTTAGTGTACAAGTCATTTTATCTGGCTAAAACTTGTCGTCTTGTAACCCTCAAGGCATCAATTTCAGCATTATTGCTTTCAACAACAGTATATTGAATATTATGTCAGTTAAAGGAAAATAATTATCAAGGCAAGTTAGGATGGCTGTTAGTCTTACCACATATTGACTTGGTTAGCAGTTGGCTATAGATTGTGTTACTGGGCAAATGAAGACGTACGGTAAGTTGAACTGGTCAGGCCAGGATATTAATTTAACACTCTATGGGCTCAAACCTGCATCCCTTATGTATACACAGCTACTTCTGCCTTTAGAGATACTTTTGAATGTGGAAGAATGGCAGGTGTCTGATCCGATTTTGAATTTTTGGATGTGAGAGAAAAGGGCAAGCAGGCCATTCAAAACTATCATTTGAAAGTATGTATGAAGAGGTTATTAAGAAAAGAAGGGAGATGATAGTGATGCCATCGAGTCATTTAAAAGACTGGCATGACTGTCAAGGATCCTATACTTTTTTGATAAAAATTACTTTTTACTTACGTGATTATCTGTGTGACTCATAACCTAGCCACTTGGATATAAAAGTCATAGCATAACTTGGACTATGATTATTTAGGAAGTCAGGTTAATATCTTAAAGGTAAAGAACCCAATATTCTCCTGCGTACTTACTAAAGTATTTATTTGGCAAGTGCAGAAAAAGTGAGGTAAATTTTGAGCATTTCCCCCCCAAAAAATAAACAAAAACAAAAATGGGAATATGCAATTACATGCTAAAGTCTCAACATAAGGGAACATATGATTTGTTTTTCTGCTATTAAAGAATAATTCTTAATTTCAGTTCCATGTCTCATGGTACATTTACTGACAATGAATAAAAGCAGTGTCCCGCCCTTTTGTACCTTCCCCATTCTCCCTGTATCTTTGACCTAAGAAGTACGAATATAAGAGATTATCATTGTTGAATTTAGTAATTTAAAAATCAAGCTTTCACACAGTCTCTTTTCCGTTCAAACATGTAACTGACTTGTCCGGGCTCATACACCAGCTTGTCCGTGGAAATCTCCGTGTTTGCAAGTGGGTCCTGTCAGAGTTCAGAGAACCAGGTCAGACATTCTGAGTATTTAGCTGAGGAGTCAGCAGCCTTGTGAGAAGAGTGATAGTGATGCACATCTCAGGTCACCTGTGTCTAAATAGAACAATAAGCACTTTAGAAGAATATTTCTAAGACCAATGAGGGCTTCTGTCTTTGAGAAGTCTAACTTTGGATTTGGGAGGAACTACACACCGGATCCTTCTCTTCAACTTTATGATACATGTTAGCATGATACAGGCTCTGAGAAGTTCTGGAGTAAGTGCCCTGTGAGAGTAACTTTCACCAACCTTTCCTGCTTCATAACCTCTTCCAGTCAAGCTCATCAGAAGTATTCGGTTCCTGTGAACACACTCGGCTCTTCTTCAACATGGGGTATTTGCACGTAAAGTTCCTTCTGCCTGGAATACCCTACTCCTCTCTCTCTACGTGGCTTATTTCTTGTGCTTCAGGTATCCAGCAAAGTCCCACTTTATTACAGAGAACCAGTTTAACCAATGTAGGTCTCCTCTAGTGTGGCTCTATGTCAGGAATCTTTTCCCCCTCAAGCTCCTATCACAATTTAAAATCAATCAATTAAGTAAGTCAACTGTTAAAATGTTTTTTTCCTGGCTTCCTCATTACGGAGTGCCACAAATGCAGGGTACTCAATAAATGTTTGATAAATCAATGGGTGAGGAAATCTGCTTAACTTGGTATAGCTTGATATTTCACTGTGGAAGTCATGGACTATCCAATTAACTTCATTTGGCCAAAGTATCCTTAGTTTTTTTATTCAGGCTTCCTGAGGACTGA